AAGTGCTGAGAGGTCTGATGAGTACCCAGGTGGCAGGCCTGGCTGGAGGGTCCTACCCAGCTCTCGTGTGCAATCAGGTCGATGCCACATGTGTCTTGGGGTTCTGGCCCCAGGTTCGATTCCCGGACACCGTGGAGCCATTACTATCCTAGGGTCTTTGTAATGGGCCAGCAGTGGTTTTGCCTTGTGAGTTCCCCTCTGAGAGCTAGTATACCCAACACTAAGTCAGCTTGGCCCAGAAGGCTGGGAAAATGGGGTGATGAAGGAAAACTGTTCTCCTGCCTCAGGGGACCACATTTGGTCCAGCACCAGGGCTGTGTCCTGGCTCCCATCTAGTTTCTATTCATCTTCTCACCAGCCCTCTCTTCTTCCAGGATTTCCTCACAATGTATGTTCATCTGGTCTCCAACCAGAATGAGCTCAATGAGACATAAACACTGAGTTTGTACTTACAAAAGGCTTGGCTTGAGGGAGCCCCACAAATGCTTTGGATTATGTTCTCATTAAAGTCAGAGAGACTCAAGAGGCCAGCTGCCGAAGCAATGCAGATATAGGCCAGTCAGGGTCCCTAAGGGCAGGACTCTACCCTGGCAGCAGGAAGTCAGGGCACTAGGAAGAGGAGAAACCCTCTCTGGGGCCTGGGGAGGGCTATGCATTACAGAGCTGAGATGTCATCTCAGGGCAGAGAGCCAACACCCAGGAACCACTGGTCTAGAGAGGACTGTTACTTCCTTGCAATACAGGAAAGTGGTGGTCCTTATGAATTCCCATTTGCTAATGGCAGGCAATTTAAGGCTCTCACTAGGGGAGCAAGGGTGTGACAAAGCTGCTCTGGGAGGGGTGTTTGTTGAAGGCTGGTGTCAGCCAGGCTTCATTTAAATCATCCCAGATTCTTTGCAAGGGCTATAAACAGTGGAGTGATGAAATTGTCTCTGGAGCCAGAATAGGGAGGAGGCCCTGTCACGAGGGAGGGCCAAGAAGCACTCACTACTAAGGCGTGGGGAGAAAGGGGCATGGACAGGAAGGAAGGCTAATCTGTCTCTGAGGGGATCACTGGGAAGATCTGAGAAGCCCCTATAGTGCAGTGTTCTAAAGAGCTCGGATGAACGGCACCGCCCTAGCTAGCTGCTGAGGTTCTAGTTAGACAAGCACAGAATGGCCCAAAGAATTCTAATCCACCTAGCCTGAAGCTTTTGGGAAAGAGATCATCACCCTGTAAGTTTTAAGCTGTCTGGGCAAAGTGATCCTTGTAAATTGCTGGCAGATTGATGGAGGGATCACAGCCCAAGCTGCAAAGCAAGACTGAAAAGGTTGGATTCCTGGGATACACGTAAAGAGATGTGTGGTACCCCATACACCATGCTTCCTGTTCCTATCTCCCTTTCCCACTCTACCATTCTTTTTTACAGTGTTTACCAGCAGCCATAAACACACACACACACACACACACACACACACACACACACACACCCTTATCCATCTATCAAATCCAGAGACTAGTTTCTCTAATTTCTCACAGCATATCTTTCTCAGGCTACTTGTCGGGATCAATTAGGACAGTGGATTAGGAGTGCTTTTAAGCCTCAACATTTCCATCTTCAGCCTCCCTCAACTTAGAATTCCTCTGGAGGTGGGACTCTGAGTCCTGTTTTCTGGAGAGCCTCAGATTTCAGACGTCTTCAGGGATAGCTGAAGAATCGCTTGCAAAAAGCATAATGAAAATTTGTTCCGAGGTTTCAAAGCCGAATTCGTTGCACCTTTCTGTGAACCAGCCTGCTCGCCCTTAGAACTCAAGCCCTGGGCATGAGAGCTGGCTGCTGAGTTCCACAGAGGGTGAATCCACGACCCTGGAGTAGATGCAGCAAGGAAGGGACTTACTCCAGTTTCAGTTGAACTGTGACAGAGCTGGGGCTAAGTAGAAGGGACTTATGGCAGTGATGGGACCTTACTCAGTTCCTTCCCATGAGTCCTTTCAAGGTTGCCTATACTTCTCAAGTGTTCTTGCCTATTATCTTGGTTTCTTTTCCTGTCACTGTGACAAAATACGCTGACAAAAGCAAGTTAAGGGAGAAAGTATTTCTCCCTTAAGGTTCACTGTAGAGGTACAGCCTATCGTGGTGAGGAAGTCAGTGTGAGCCTGAATCAGCTGACCACACCCATCCACAGTCAAGAAGCTGAGTAATGAGTGTTCGCTGCTCAGCTCCCTTTCTCCACATGTATATTCCAGTATTCCAGCTAGGGAATGGTGCCACGCACCATAGACAGGTCCTCCCACCTCTGCCTCTCATTTCCCACTTGATTACAGAGGTCACAGGGCAACGTTTGGGACAGGAGGTCACAGGGACCAAAGGTTTTACAAAACACAAGAGGGCTACTGGTCATTGTCACAGCCCTCAAAGTTCTGCATGCTCAGTGACAGTCCTGTCCCTTCTCTTTTCTACCCTCTGATCTTGTAGTTGCAGGAGCAATACTCAAGAACTCTGCAGAACTTTAGTTCCTCATTCCCAGTTATAGTATGTAGGCCAGAGGAAGATATCTGAATCCAAATCTTGGCTTTCCCACTTGTATTGTGTGTACCGTCGCGTTCTTAATGTCTTTGGCTCTCAGTCTCTTTGACCATAAAACTGATACTTTAGGTTATAAAATTTATAGGATCGTCATGATGATTGCTTTGAGGCCAGACCCCACACTTTGCTACATTTCAAAAATGAAACATGAGGAAAACAATCTAGGAGTGGCTGCTTCCAGCATACTTGGGGGTTTTTTAAACGTTAGGTAAGAGGTAAACGACAAATGTATTAACAAATGCAGAGCTGAAGTTGAAAGAAAATAGAAGTCTCCAAAGATTAAGCAAAACAAGCTCCAAAGATGGATTCTTGGAAGAGAAACAAGAGGAAGAGGGTGGGTGAAAGGGAAGTGGAGGGGGTGGGTGGGTAGGGAGCTTGACATTTAAACTAGGAGCTCAAGCCAGAGAGGGAAAAATATAGGGTTGGTGGGAACATATGACCAAGGTCCAGCTGGGTCACTGCTTCCACAACAAAGCCTGGACCCTAGAATCTGTCCCTGTTCAGCAATGCTGTCACTGTGTCTCACCTTCGGACAATCCAAGACCTTTCTGATTGGTCAAGTGTCAGGCTGTCAGTAAAGACTCTCACTTCTTGTAACCCTGCTGGTTCCTCTAAAACTGGAGAAGGAGAGGAACAGGGAGCTAAGGAAAAGGGGCCATTTGGCTGAGAGCTGACCAGAGAACCCAGCCTCTCCAGGCTCCAGGTAGAGTCTCCGTGTGTGTGTGTGTGTGTGTGTGTGTGTGTGTGTGTGTGTGTGTGTATTTGAGCGCGCATGTGCACACATGCACATTAGGGGTTGAACCAGGGTCTCATATACTGTAAGTACTTGCTCTGCCCTTGCTCTGTCCCTGAGATACAATGCCCCTTCCACCACAAGTCTTTCACCAACAATTTTTCAATGTATAAGATAAAATATGAAGCCAATGGGAGTTAAATTCATAAATACATTTTTTAAATTATGAGACTCATTGGGATTTGCTGTCAGATTAGTATATACATGTAATTAGAAGTACAATTTTTATATCTTTCTTTGATGGAAGCTTGTTAATTATCATATTATGAAAATGTTTTTATAGTCCAATCTAGCAAATTCACTTGAAGGAATTGTATAAAGACATCTTATATGTAAAAAGAGGAGGGATTTTTTTTTTAAAATCAATCATTTGAGCTATAGCTTCAGATGCCATGGGAATGGTATATATGGCTTGGGGCTTAGCAGTTAAGAGCACTTGCTACTCTTCCAGAGGATTGGAGTTAATTCCCAACCCTCTTGTCTGATGGCTCACATTGGCTACAGCTTCAGTTCCAGGGGAATCCTATGCCTCCTTCTGGCCTCTGTGGGCTTTGCACTTACATGCACATACCCCACACAGGCATACACATATACACATAATTTAAAATAAAATAAAACATTTTAATGGCATATGTGGCTATTGTTAAGACATGTAAGCAGAATTTTCTCTTGAGAAGCCCACAGTCACACTTGGGTACATCCAGTTCTTCCTGAGTGTCTCTCTACTGATGACCAGACCTAAACCTATGTTAAAATCTTATCTTAATGAATTTTAACTCTTCACTTAAAAAAATGCTAGTCATTACATGTCTGTGCACACACATACACACCTTCAGACTAAATGAATAAAATAATTAACATTTAAATATTTAAATAAATAGAGCTATTTTTTTAAACGGGGGGGGGGGGTGTGTGTCAAAGATGCCTCTTCTAAGTAATTTAGTTTTCATCCTTGGCTTTTATCCCCATTTCCCAAGTCCAAGTTGGCCCCACAGCTTGGTCTGCCTCTATATTAAATCTCCTTCCTCATCATTATTTTCCTAGGGAGAGGAGATGGGAGGGGAAGGGAAGGACAACAGTTTCTTCAACAGTGAGCACACCGTTTAGGTCTGGCTCTGGATCCCTTCTCCTCCACGATCCCTTTGACACCTTGGTGGGTCTCCAGTGAAGTACACACAGGAGGCAGAATACACTCATCTCCTGTCTACCCACTGCTTTCTAGCTGCTCTGGACACAGTCTTGGACCTGTGCAGGACCAGATTCAGATTTGTGCCTGAAGCAGGGAAATTCTGCTTCTGTTCCATGTGTTGGACCAATCAACACACTCTTATATCTCTTTGTTCCACCCCCAGAAGTTTGAGAGAAGTGCAGACTAGATGGGCCCGTGTGTCTTCCTAGATTGTGGAAAATGGGCACATCTCTTTACACATAGGTGGGATATCTCGGTAGTGACCTTCTACATCTTACCTTTGCCTCCATTTCTCAGCTCACATAAGGTCACCTGGGGTTCAGGTGGACTGAATTGGACCTAGGGACTGGGTGGCAATAGGAGATGAGCCTTGATACCAGATGGGAAGCTGGAGATGGGAGGGAGTGGCTTGGGGTCAAGGTAGAGTCTGACCCAACTGGTTCCATTACAGTTAGATCGGCTGGCAGTGACAGGGATGTACTGTGTGTTACTGAAGAGGAACTGGCTGGTGAAGACGAGGACATGCCATCCTTCCCATGCACACAAGAAGGTAAGTACTCGGGGACCCCCTGTGTCCTCTGTGAGATGGGACTTCCCTGCCTTCGTCTCCAGACAGGTGAACAAACAAGTGGTTTCAGAAATCTCGCTCTCATTTTCCTATTGCCCCTTGGAGAGTGAAGGGCAGAGCTGTGTGGCCTGGGACAGTTCAGGATCTGGCATGTGTCATATGCCCCCAGGGCTCCCCCTGAGTCCTTATAGGAACCCTGCCATCTGCTCTAGCCAGACATTCTGTGCCCAAGGTCTATCTTCTGCTTTGTTGCTCGTGCCATTTGAGTTGCTGGTTGGACTAGGGCCCTCAGTGGCATTTGGCATGGATTACACCTGTGTTCTTTCCTTGACTGGACATTGTACTTACTCATCGATGCCCCAGGCCTGCCCTCAGAATTTTGAACTTATTCTGGTGTGCCATATGGACCAGGCTCTAGGTTTGTAATCACTTGTGGTAACCATCATTTGCAGCTAAGCTGAGTTCCTCTTGGGGCCAGGCTACATCCTCAGCGGGCACTGGTCACCTCCCAGAGTCCCCAGGAACACCTGTTCCCTCTTCCCTCTCTGCACCAACCTGACTGGTGGACTTTAACTCCTTGTGTGGTTTCCAAGACAACTACAGCTTATTTGTCCAGCATGTGTGGGGCTGAGGGAACCCCCCCAGGAGTGGGACTTTAAATCTCAACATTGAAATTCTCTGCAAAGCATCACGATTTGCCCCTTCTGAGGAATTCTCATGGCAGGAGAGTCTTGGTGCTGTAACTCAGAAAGTCATGGGCAAACTGGGTTGTGTTGAGCACACATTGGAGCATAGATAGCACTGGGCTGGAGTGCGAGCAGGCTACTGGGATCGTGGATCACCAGTAGGACCAGTGTGGAGAGGAAGGTTATCTTTTCATTCTGTGGGCTGAATGAAGATACTGCCAAGAAAGAATGGCCAGTAAGGCAGGGGGAGGGGTAGTCTCTGTCTCCTCTATTTCAGAAAGTTATAGAAAGGCAGTCTAGGTAGGAGCAAGTAAGGGACAGAAGTGGAAAGCTCCAGTTGTGAGCTTGGAAAGCGACGAGACAGGCCAGAACAGGAACACGGAACTGAGTATGTCACTCCAGCCTTCACCACTGACCCAAGCCACTGCCATCTTCTTGTCTTCTGCAGGCCGGTCAGGACCCCGTTGCAGCCGCTGTCAAAAGAACTTGTCTCTGCACACGTCAGTAAGGATTCTGTATCTCTTCCTGGCTCTGCTCCTCGTGGCCGTGGCTGTGCTGGCCTCTCTGGGTGAGTTCAGAGTTCCTTGACCTGGTTGCAGGGGAGTGGCTGATTAGGTGTCTACATCAAAAAACACCTCTGTGGAGACAAGCACTCCACATCTGTCACCTGTCACCCAGACAAGTATCATCCTGGCTCAGATATCATTGTGGCTAATACACTAGGAGACTAGACTTGCTTCTAATCTCTGGTTAAGAGTTAGCTATAGGAAGGCAGCTATACTCACCACTATACCAGAAGATTGAGTCAGGGGAAGAACAGAGGAGAAAAGAAAAGAGATACCATAATAGAGGGAACCATTATAGGTTTTAAAGAGAAATCTGGCACTAGGGAAATGTCCAGAGACCTACAAGGATGACCCCAACTAACAATCTAAGAAATAGTGGAGAGGCTACCCTAAATGTCCTTCCCTGATAATGAGATTGATGACTACCTTATATGCCATGCTAGAGCCTTCATCCAGTAGCTGATGGAAGCAGAAGCAGACACCCACAGCTAAACATTGAGCTGAACTCCTGGAATCCAGTTGCAGACAGGGAGGAGTGATGAGTAAAGAGGTCAAGAACAGGCTAGAGAAACCCACAGAAACAGCTGACCTGAACAAGAGGGAGCTCATGGATCCCAGTCTGATAGCTGGGAAACCAGCATAGGACCGACCCAGAACCCCTGAACGTGGGTTTCAGTTAGGAGGCCTGGGCAGTCTATGGGACCTCAGATAGTGGAACCAGGATGTATCCCTAGTGCACAAACAGACTTTGGGAGCCCATTCCCCATGAAGAATACTCCCTTAGCCTAGAGATACGGGGGGAGAGCAAAGGCCCTACCCCAAATGACTTGACAGATTTTGATGATCCCTCCTGGAAGGCCTCACCCTCCCTGGGGAGTGGATGGGGGAAAAGATGGGGGAGTCAATGGGGGGAGTGGATGGAGGGCATGGGAGGATTGGAGGGAGAGGGAACTGAGATCGGTAAGTAAAATATTTTAAATATATATTAAATAATAAAAATTAAATAACAAACAAACAGAAAAAGAGTTAGCTGTAGGACTTTGAGTAGAAGAAAATAACCAGATGAGTTAGACAAGTCTGCGTTGGAATCATGTGAGAGTTTTCAGAACTGTTGATGTCCCAGGGTAACAGTGAATTTGTAACTTTCAGCTCTCTGGGTGAATCTGTTGTAGAGCCCTGGGTTGTGACCACTGGGGCAAGAGGCTTCTATTTCTGTCCATGATCTCTGTGTGTTGCTCAAGACAAGATCGGGTACCACCTGCATCAAGATTACCTTCAGTGTTCATTAAACTATAAATTCCCAGGTCTTACTAAGACTTGCAAAATCAGAGTCCTGCAGGTGAGGCCAGGAGACCCAAGTTTTGGGGCTTCTCATACACAGTGAGGTTGGTGTGACCATGGCTGGGGTCAGGTAGATTCTAAATTCTAAGAGTTTAAGAAAAATTGTCTCAATCAGTTTGGTCACATCATACTGAAATCTGTTTGTCCCAACCTGACTGAGACCAGTGACAGGGCTGGGAGTAGTGAGAAGCGATGGAGGTCTGAGTAACCTTCACCCAAGGTACTGACCCTGAGAGTGAACACCCTCCCTCCTGGAAAGGCACTTGGCCCTGCTCCTGGCTGAGGGTATTTGGGACCCAACCCTGGCGGTATTAGTAACATTTCTTTTTGCTATGACAAGAAGCAACTCCAGGGAGGGAGGATTCATTTTAGCTTATCATTTGAGAGCAGTCCATTACGGTGGGTAAGGCATGGCAGCAGGAGGAGATGGCCAAATACATTGCCTCTTCAGGCAGAAGGCAGAGAGCAGAAGGAAGGTAGGGCCCAGCTATAAAAATCTCAAGGCCCCCTCCCATAGTCCCACTACCTCCAGTGAAGGCTCCACCTCTGAAGGGCTGTGCCTTCCAAAACAGAGCCACCAGTTGGGGACCAAATGTGCAAGAACATGAACTTATAGTGCACAGTTCACACTGACACCGTAACAGGATGAGAAGGCAGAAAAAAAAAAAAAAAAAAAATAAGGGCGATGTCTAAACAAATTAATTACAAAATGTGAGATGTGCAGGGAGAAGGGAGAAAGAATACATGGGATGAGCCCCTGGCTGATGGCCTAGTAGACATTACGAAGCATTAGAGTCAGAATAGCAATTATTGGGTCTATTTCTTTTCCTTTAGCTATATATGGGCTCTTAATTGAGAGAAGCCACAAAGAGAAAAACTGTTGCCAACTATAAAATACTACCCCAACTAACAGTATTTGACGTCATCCCTGGGATCTCTCACACATGTCACTGTTAGTAATTTGACCTCTTGACAGATCTGAGCTGCACAGTGTTCGCGAGAGCCCAGAAATTCTAAATCACTTGAAACCATAAAGGTTTGAGATGCTAAGACTTTTGGAGATCTTTGCCTCCGTGTTTTCATTTTGTAGATGACTTTGTTCATTCTGGAAAAGTTCATTGTCCTGCCCAAAGTCACCCAACAGACTTTATATCAATCTGAGTCTAGAAGCTAAGTTGCCTTGGGTGATACTAATCCATTCGGCCTGATGTGGCCTTCAGAGGATCTGTGTCAGTCATGAGTCCAACAAAAGCTGTTGTGTCAGCAGGGTTTAGAGCAAGTATCAGCAGAAGCAGGGTTCCTGGGTTTATCCAGCAGAAGACAACATGGCCCTGGAAATAGTGAGAGGGTATGGGTTGGACTCATGACTGACACAGATCCTCTGATGACCCTCCAAAGAAAGAATGGAAAAATAGTAGGAAGAAGAAAAATGTCTGTAATGCCATACGTATAAAAGTCAAATAAAAGGAAGTAGATGGGGTAGCCAGAGCAACACAGTTTTGCATTTTATTTTATAAAGAGTGTATCTATGTGACTGTTAAGGGAGTATCTATCCATGGACACATCACTAGAAGAAATACATATTTGAAGATACTGATGGCAGTGAGTGCTCTCTGGGTGATGGAATTAAGAGTAATCTTATCTATGTATGTTTGTGAATTTTTTCTATTCTGTATTATGAGGAGGCCTTGTTTCTAAAACCCAGGCTGTTAATCCAGTTATTATTCTTATAATGGGACATGTGCTGAACTCAGGTAGAAAGAAGCACTTTGACTTGATCATTAGGAAGCCTTTCTCCTGGGAAAAGCACAAATGGTTTCAGTGCAGACTGATAAAAAAATGATCTCACCAATGATGCCTGTTTCTGAATCATGACCCAGCCTGGTCTTCTGTTTCCCCAGTTTTTCGGAAGGTGGACTCTCTCTCAGAAGACATCTCCTTGACCCAGTCCATCTATAATAAGAAGCTTGTGTCAATGCAAGAAAATCTTCAAGGACTGGGTAAGATTCTAGTGTCCACAAGCACACAGGGCCCTCCATCCCATGTTATCAAAAGATGGACAGGTGCTGCCTACTCTCTCAGACCAGCCACTGATCCCTGAGCATCATCCATCCAAGGAGGGCTGGGATACTGGGACGCAACAAGGATCGGGACAGAGTTTCTATATGGGCTACTGATCTAGCCACAAACCATAGGCAGACAAGGAAAGCGAGCATGGCCCTTTCTCAAAATGCCCACATGCATCTCAAATGATTTCTAAGACCTTGCAAAGCATCCTGCTATACATGAGCCCCTTCCGAGTCACCTGCCTTGAGCCACAGCACAGTTCACAATGGTCTCTCTTTCATTCTCCAATCAGGAACATTCTAAGAGAGGGAGTTAGCAGGAGTCACAGCAGATAAGGGTTTAGAGATCATCTCTGGGGGCTGGAGAGATAGCTCAGTGGTTAAGAGGACTGACTGCTCTTTGAGAGGACCCGAGTTCAATTCCCAGTACCCACATGGGAGCTCACAACTGTCTGTAATTCCAGTTCCAAGGGACCCAATACCCATGGCAAAACACCAATGCACATAAAATTGCAAAAATAAATAAATAAATAAAATAAATGAAATTTTACAAAGATAATCTCTGTTGCAAATAGAAAGTGCTGTCCTGACACCTAATAATGGAGTTCCATTTGGCAAGCTACTTTTCTGTCACCAGGGCCATCTTCCCCACAAATACGCTATGAGATATCAACGAAGACAACAAATATTAAAATTGTGTAGAAATGTTTAAATGAAGTGCACAATGGAGGTTCTTGCTCACCTCAGAACAACTATTAAGATCTGTTCTTGAGAATGCAGTGATACTGTGGGGAAAATATCCAAAATCCTACCCTTCAGACTGTAGAGTAAAGACGGGATTCTGCAGAGATTTCTGAGAGGGATTCTCACAGCAGGAATGGAAGCCAGTTCCTGTGCCTGCATTGCAGAAAGTGCCTGTATGGTTAGGGGGAGAACTCAGTCATTGACCTGAGCATAATCCCAAGAATCCACTTGGAAAAGGTGGGTGTGGTAGCAAATACTTGTGATCCCAGTGCTATTGTGACAGAAACGGGGATTCTTGGAGCTCACTTGCCAGTTAGCCTTGCTTGATTGACAAGCTCCAGGCCAGCCAGAGGATCTGTCTCAAAAATCAAGACAGATGGCACCCAAGGAACAGCACCTACAGTTGTCCTTAGACCTCCATACATGTGCATGTATGCCTGCATGCAAATAAACACACACACACACACACACACACACACACACACACACACACACACACAGCACCTTTGTCCCATTTAACTGAAAATGTTGTCCCCTTTTCTCCTGAAGACCCAAAAGCTCTGAACAATTGCTCCTTTTGCCGTGAGGCTGGGCAGCTGGAGCAGGAAATCAGGAAGCTCCAAGAGGAGCTCGAGGGGCTTCAGAAGATGCTGCTGGCCCAGGAGGTCCAGCTGGACCAGACTTCCCAGGCCCATGAGCTGCTCTCCACTACAAGCAGTCAAATCTCCCAGGAGATGGGCAGTTGTTCCTTCTACGTCCACCAGGTAAATCAGTCCCTGGGACTCTTCCTGGCACAGGTGAGGGGCTGGCAGGCCACCACAGCAGGCATGGACACCACTCTGAAGGACCTCACCCAGGAGTGCTATGATGTCAGGGCTGCGGTACACCAGATCAACTTCACAGTGGGCCAGACTGCTGAGTGGATCCATGGGATCCAGCGCAAGACAGACGAGGAGACCCTGACCCTACAGAAGATGGTTACAGACTGGCAGAACTACACAAGGCTCTTTGGGGGTCTGCGTAGCACTTCTGCCAAGACTGGAGAAATGGTCAAGGCCATTCAGACCACCCTGGGGGCCTCCTCGCAGCGCATTAGCCAGAATTCTGAGAGCATGCATGACCTGGTGTTGCAGGTCATGGGCCTGCAGCTACAGCTGGACAATATCTCCTCCTTTTTGGATGACCACGAGGAGAACATGCATGACCTCCAATACCACACCCGATATGCCCAGAACCGCACAGTGGAGAGGTTTGAGTCTCTGGAAGGACGCATGGCTTCACACGAGATCGAAATCGGCACCATCTTCACCAATATCAACGCCACCGACAATCACGTGCATAGCATGCTCAAGTACCTGGACGATGTGCGGCTGTCCTGCACTCTGGGCTTCCACACCCACGCTGAGGAACTCTACTACCTAAATAAGTCCGTCTCCCTCATGCTGGGTACCACAGACCTGCTCAGGGAGCGCTTCAGTCTGCTCAGTGCTCGGTTGGACTTCAATGTCCGAAACCTCTCCATGATCATGGAGGAGATGAAGGCTGTGGACACACAGCATGGAGAAATCCTCCGAAATGTCACCATCATCCGAGGTAAGAGGAGTGGGCAGGATTCTCCAGGGACTCAGAGTTACTTCTATATACAGGAGCACATGATTTTAGGGAAATCTCCAATAGTATGTACATAGATAGAGGATGCTAGATAGAGGGAGCTGCATAGGGAAATAGATTGCTGAAATCATCCTGTAACCAATTCCCAAGGCAGCAGGCAACTTTAAGAAACGCCTTTGAGGAGCTCAGTGGTTAAGCACACATGCTGCTCTTGCAGAAGACCTGGTTCAGTTCCCAGCACCCATGTAAGGAAGCTGACAAATACTTGTCACTCTAAGTCAGGGGATCTGAAGTTCTCTTCTAGATTCCACAGGCACATGTACACACATGGTATACACACACAAGTAGGCACACACACACATGCACAAATAAAAAGAAATCATCTTTAATGTTTAAAATTCTATCTTTGAGTGCTAAACTGTGGTACACAGCTATAATCCCACCACTCAGGAGGCTGAGGCAGGAGAATTGTCGTGGATTCAAGGCTAGCTTGGACTGACTACACACTAAATCTCAGAGATACATAGTGAACTGTCTCAACAAAAGGAACAAATTAAAGAAGGGAGGTTCTTGCAGACCTCTTGGTGAAGGTGATATGGTTTCTGACTTTACCTTTCAAAGAACATTTGATTTATTCATGGATTTCTTTTAGTCCACATAGGCAAGTATGCAGACCTTGTCTTTTAGACAAGTATGCCCACTTTCTCCCTTTCTGCCCCCTCATTAATGCTTTTGTCTGCCTGTCCAACTAAGCATCCCTCAGAAACCCATAACTCTGCCTTCTTCTCCTATATCTCCCTAAGTTCCTTATTCATAAGAATTCTCCAGAAAAAGAAAAGAAGAGGAAGAAGAAGGAGAAGAAGAAAAAACAGAACTAGTAGAATGTAGGAAGATAGGTAATAGCTGGGAAGACAGACAGACAGAGCGATCATAACATATGCTGGAGATCAATTGAGAAAAACACCTGATATTGCTCCCTGGCCAATGACATGTATACAAACATGTACTTATATGCATGCACACTCACACACATGCATGCTCTCTCTCTATCTATCTCTCTCTCTCTCTCTCTCTCTCTCTCTCTCTGTCTCTCTCTCTTTCTGTCCTGGTGCCCTACTTCAGTTCTTCAAAACTGTGTCCACTGTCCACACAGGAGAGGAGATGCTGAGATCATGATGCTGAAAGCAAATAGCTCAGACATTTCTACCTAGCTCCTGCTTCACTATAGGGCAAGGGATGGAGAATGGAGGAGATAGAGACAGTACCCGGAGGAATTTTTGGAGAGTGACATTTGCTGCAGCCTTGATCATAGCAGAGTTGCATTACAAGCCCACCTCTTAAGCATGGTGGGACATCTGTTTGAGTACATGGAACCCTCGATTCAACATCTTCATGTTTCTACTGACACTGAGCTCATTTTCTTGTTGATATAGATTGGTGAGGTGGGGAGAACATGTTTAACTGTTGTTTCATCTTATATTTACAACAAAGCCCAGTCCTGAGTATTTCCATAGGAACTGAAAGTTGACCTTATCATTTCACTGAGAGGATGGATGCATGTGTGTGGCCCGTAAGGTGCAATTTTAAGTTGTGTCTGTTGGCCAACATCCCTCCTGATCTTAAAGTCATCACATGCACAACTTCTATCTGAAAGACTCCAGGTAAATTGCATATCACACCCGAGAGGGAACTAATCCCTCACCCTCAGACAGGCTCTGAGTCTCTAACAGTGGAGCTGGCAGTGAGGGTTGTCTGGCCGGTGTAGAGCTGATAGTTAGGACATAGGTACGGCCGTGACACAAGCAGTGGAGGGTCTGCCAAATACCTCTAAAGGAAAGGAGGCTGGGTTATAATTTGTTCTGGGACTTAGGCAAACTTGCTTCATCTCTCCAACTGTGCTCTGTCATCTGTAAATGAAGGGGTAGGACCAGCCCCTTCCAGCTCTAATTCCAAGCCTCCATGCACCACAGAAAGCCTGTGGTGCATGCACACTGGTTACACCTCTCCTAGAATCTTGTTCTCTCCCTAGTCTCTGGGATAATTTTTATGTCTGTGCTAGACAGTATCTCTGCTAGGACTGCTATATGACTATCCTTTTGGAGTTGGAGGGGAAAAAACCCACTGCTCATTAGCTGAGAGTGGGTAGAGTTCTTCATCACTTTCAACTCAGTCTCCTCACCAACCATGTCCTACATTCATTTCTGTTGCTTTGATAAAAGGCAACTTAGGGAAGAAAAGGTTTATTTGGCTTTCAATTCCAGATAACAGCCCATCCCTGAGGGGCAGTCAGGTGGGAACTCAAGCAGCTAGTCACATCCCGTTAACAGTCAAGAGCAGAGAGAAGTGAATCCATTCAGGCCCATTAGCTAGGTTTCTCCCCTCTTACACTGTTTGTATACCCAGGCATGGACCTCCTTGCCTAGGTAATGGTGCTGCCCACAAGTGACTGTGCTTCCTATGTCAATCAAAAGAAAACAACTCCACCAGACATGCCCCAAGACCTACCTGCTCTTGACAATTCCATAGTAAAACTCTCTTCACAGGCAATTCTAGGTTGTGTCAAGTTGACAGTTAAAGATAACCAGCACAAATAAGACCACTAAAACCTGTTCTGCCAGTACCACATAGGGTCATTGTGGGGTTCAGTGACAATAATCATATGGATCTAAAAAGGGTGTGTTAATATGAGATGACATCACTATATTGATGACATAGTGCCCTTTCCCATTCACAACTGTCTAACAGTTCGTGGGCCCCAAAGGCTCTCTGGAAGTTTTTGCTTAATGAATGAATAACTGGAAGTATGAATGGAGAGTAGATGCCAAGTGTGCAAGGAATTAAACTTGAAAACTTGTTCTGTAAGCACCGCCTGCTATACCCTGCTATAACCCACAAGGATTCAGGAGTTGACACAGTAAGAAGGGAAACCAAAGGTAGCCTTGTCAGGTTAAGATTCCTGCTACCAAATCTGGTAACTTGAGTTCAATAGCTAGGGCCTGAGAGGTGGAAGGAGAAACTGACTCCAGCAACTTGTCCTCTGACCTCTGAACATATGCTCACACACATAAACGCAAACACTATACATGCACAATAAATTTAAAAAAAATTTTTTTTTTTGGTTTTTCAAGACAGGATTTCTCTGTGTAAGTGCTCTGGCTATCCTGGAACTTGTTTTGTAGATCAGCCTAGCCTTGAACTCATAGAGATCCACCTACCTCTGCCTCTGGAGTACTGATATTAAAGGCATACGCCACCATCACCCGGCAAATAATTTTATTTTAAAGAAAGGAAAAACAGTTCTGTTTAGGCACAGGGGCTGTGTATGCAGGCGAAGAAGGGTTAGTAGCTGTGCGTCCCATTTTTGTCTGGCCAGCCTTGTAAAGCTGTTGGGAGTTTTCTTTGATGCCCTAGCTGTACTCTTCTGTTAGGTTTTTTTCAGTCTATACAGAATGATCACTCCCCACAGCACCTTGAGTAGAGAAGCAGCAGAGGTTGCAGGCTGGCACCAGGGAGAGCCTTCTCCTGGGATCTCAGCACTTGGTGTCACTCCAGAACTTCCTGGAAGATGCTCTGCATCATCTCTAACAGTTCTCTTACTCTTGGTCAGCAATGTAGGATGTTACATACCAGCCCACCCTCAACAGACATATAAGTTAATCAGCATTCTCTAGGTGTTCTTTTGTTGATCATAATTAGGACTGAGACTCTCTGGCTGATGTCAATAGAATCACAGAACAGAAGAAATAGAGACAGATACGTAAGGACAGACAGACACACATACACACACACACACAGAGAGAGAGAGACAGAGAGAGAGAGAGACAGACACACAGATCAAGCCCAGCCACCTAACATGCTAATGCCAGAGCTGGCATTCCAATCTAGATCTCAGGGTTCAGGACAGGGCAGCTTCCATTGGGCTTGACACTCAAGGAACCATCTCTTCCATTTCCAGTTCCTTCTGTCTTAGTGAGCTGACTACAAGAGGTACCATGGAACCCTCCTACTAATGGCTCATTATAGCATGGGTGGGCAGGGTTATTTCTTGAGATTCTAGATTCTTCCAGCCACTCCTATTTCTTTCATCTTCTCTAATCCCGAGTGTGGACCACAGAACCACCACCTACTCTACCTGCCTCCTTCAGACATGCAATCAGTTGTGGCTGGTTCCTAATGGGTCCAAGAGCCTAATTACAGCCTGTAGCTTCCTGAATAATGATGGGCCTCCCTGGGACTCCTTACCTCAGCCACCATGCTGGTGTTTGCTTCTTGGCTGCGCAGAGTAGTTCTGAGCCCTCCTCGTCTTTGTCCTGTACTCGGCACACGCCGGTGTTTTATTACTACTGACAGCTCACTGGAACTCTATCCTGGTGGTGTTTTGAGCCTGAATCATTTTCCTTCCCATTGTGCTAACAGCTGGTTGTTGACTTTGTCCTGAGGTGGACGGGGCTCCCCTGCCTCACAATCTCACAATCTCTTATGATTCATCTGATCATCTAAGAAAGAAGTCTTTCCAAGTTCCCACCCATGTTTTTTGTTTTGCTTTGTGTTTTTTTTTTTTTTTTAATGTAAGTTCTAAGGATGGAATCCAGGACCTTGCACATGCTGGACAAGTGCTCTTTCTTGAAACAAGCTATTAGGTAGCAACACAGACTCTATGTAACCCAGGACAGGAGCCCAGAACTCCCAATCCTCCTGCCTTTGCTTCTCAAGTGCTCAGATTATAGCTGCATACCCTATGCTGGCTCTCCCTACTCTTAACAGACCCTCAGTGCTCTTCAGAAGAGTCTAGAGCCCCCACCCGTCTTCAGACAGCCCCAGACTGGATGGAAAAGGCCCAGGACTCCCTTTTGGGGGGTTGCTGGGGGCAGCAGTGGTAGCTGTGGGAGAAAGCTAGGTAGAGTGGCCCATTGCTTGCTCTCCTCCCGCTGCTGCCCCAGGCTCATCTGAGTTCTCAGAGATGGAGCAGTAGTGGTGGCCACGAGAGAGGGCATAGAGAAAGAAGTGGACATTCTCTTCTGGGGCCTCCTTGCACTGATGCTTGGGATAACGGGATGAGTGGTATGACCGGGTCTGAGGCTTCTGCCCAATTGTCTACCCAAGCATGATAGGTACTCATCCTCCCTCGAGGAAAGATGGCTTGGCTCTGCCATGGAAAGAGTGGCGGTGTGGCAGGGAGGGCAGACCTTTGTCTGTCTCTGCCCTTTCTCCTTTGCTGCTGACATGGAGACTCTACATACCCTCCCAGTGGCTGCTGTGCTCCTCTGGGTCAAGGAGAGGCCCTTTCCAGGAGGCAGGGGCACTGGAGAAAATGGGCTCTCAGAAGAAGGTGGCATATGTCAGATGGCCTGGGGGCAGGCATAGCACCCTTGCTATGATGAGATCCTCAGACTGGACATGGGGTGCAATCGCTTCCACCCAAAGTCAAAAAGGGTGGAGTACTAGGGCCTAGAGAAGTCTCTGGAGCAGGCTGTTCCCGAGACAGGTGGAAGAAGAATCCAAAGGAACTTCCAAAATGAGCACAGAGGCATGACACAAGTGCCCACCTAGTCATGGGGTGGGGTGTCAGGACAAGGAGCTGTAGAGCCATAGGGCACTCTGACATTCAGTTGTGCAAAGTCAAGAACTTAAGCTGTGTGTGTGTTACATTAACTGAGCTGTCTGCAGGGGTGATATTTAGTGCTGCTCTCTGCTGAACTCTGAGGTCTGGAATGGGGAAGGATTGCCCAGCATCGCTCCGTCAGCCACACAGCCTCACAGAGCCTCTCCACTGCTAAATGGCTCTCTGCTTCTCCAAATCTCAGCTGGTCCAGATGCCAGGAGCCAAATAAGGACAAGCACTGTGATTTGCCAGTTCCCAGAAAGACCTGCCAGGCTGGGGGAGGTGGGCCCTGTGTGGGCATCAGCTTGGGCCTGTGCCATGCTGGTAACTGCAATAAGGGACTTGGGGGATCAAAGGACAGGTCCTGTTTCTTGCTTTCTCCAATGCCAGGCTGCTACCATCACTCACCAGCTGTCTCAACCTCCAGCCACCTCTGCTGGCGTGCCATGTGAGCTGAGGTGGAGTCTTGTCCCATGGCAGGCGATGGCAGGAGCTGCTGGCTGGAGGTTTTTTTTGGCTCTAATGGGGCTGACTGTCCAGGCTCTGGTTTCCAGTTTAGGTCATAATCGATATTCACTGACCTGGCTCTACATAGAAACACCTTGAGAAGGAGACCCAGGGAGACCAAGGGACTGTGGGTCACATCAGCCAGGGTGATGGTGATCCGGGACCATAGAATAACATAGAATAAGATTTTGGAAACTTAGAGAGCTCAGCAATCAGCACCCAGCATCCTTTTCCTCAAAGATATCACTGAGTTCTAGTCTCCACTAAAGAAGCCCTTAGAATTGTATTCACACACGCGCGCGTGCACACATACAGAGAGAGAGAGAGAAGGGGGAGGGAAGGAAGGAGGGAGGGAGAGAGAGGGGAAGAAGGGAGGGGGGTACTTGTGTATTCAGATGTGTGTGGACCTCAGGTTTTGTTCCTTAGGAGACATCTTCCTTGTTTTTTGAGACAAGGTCTCTCATTTTGACAAGTAAGCTAGGGCAGGCTAGCCAAGCAAACTCAAGGAATCTACCTGTCTCCAACCCCATTCCCACCCCACCCCAGGAATACTCACAGACCACCATACCCATCACTAGTTCTAGGGATTGAACTCAGATCCTCAAGACAGCAAGTCTTTTACCAACGGGACCAGTCTCCAGCCTAGTGATGGGATTTCACCTCACTCTCCAGATTTTAGTTGAAGGAATTGGACCAGAGCCCACCTAATGTACAAACTTTTGACACTGCACTGCAAAGGGTCTGGGTTGCTAGCAGAGTTCTCATGGAGATCTGAGTCAGGTTCTGGGACTCACAGTTCCCATCAACCCTGTCCCTCACCCACACAGAGACCGTGGAAGAAAATGAGGTCTGCACCAAGCCTTGCCTCCACAATAGCTGGAGCCCTTTCATCCACGTTGTCCCATCTCAGACCATGCTCTGTCACCTAGGCCTTAAGGCGTTCTATGTGCCCTGTCAGAGCGGGGTCATGTATCCTCAGAGCTGGTGTAGATCTGAGAGGGGACTCTGAGACTTACACTGACAGGTAGGGGATGGGAGGCCACTGGATCCTGGCATGGTCTCCATGCTGAAAGTCATGTCTCTCCCCATCATCAGGCCCATGATAGAGGTCCACAGATTGAGACATGGCCTCTTCTCACAAACCCTGAGCTCCCATGACCGCATACCAGGCTGGATGCCCAGTGCTAAGACGTAAAACAATTACTCTTGTTGTCTTTCTGGTTTAACAGAGTCCAAGAGATACACACCTAGTGCTGGCTTCTGCTGCACTGATTTCTCTGCACTGATTAAAGGCTCAGAAAGAGGCAGCCTCAGGAGCTCCTAGGAGAAGTTGGGGTGGTCGAGTGGACTTCCTGGAGAGGGATGCTTCTTTGAGTTAGGTCTTGCCTTACCTTCTTCACTTTTTCCTCTGCATCCCCAATTCCACCCCTGATCCCAGAGGCCCAAGAGGTTCCAGGAGGTAGGGCAGGCAGTGAAAACAGCAATCAAACTCCACAGGAGCTATGAAAGGTCAGACTTCCCTTGGGCAGGATGGGAGTACCCCCACCACACACACACACACACACACACACACACACACACACACACACACACGAGAGAGAGAGAGAGAGAGAGAGAGAGAGAGAGAGAGAGAGAGAGAGAGAGAGAGAGCCCTGCCCTCAGTCCTGCTAGCTATGTATGAAGCTGAGGGATGTCAGACCTGGGAGTGTTAGCAGTATAGCAGGCCCAGTGTAGGATACCAATATGTGTTGCATAGAACCTACTGTTATAACCACCACTCCGGCAACAACGAAGCATCATCTGATAGCTCAGTAGCAGCTGCCCTGAGTCAAGCTTCTGTATGAACTTCAGCTGTCCCTGACCACTCTGCTTACAGAAAGCCTCATGAGTGTCCTGTCTCTTCTTCTATCCAACCCTAGGTGTCCCTGGGCCTCCCGGACCAAGAGGACTCAAAGGAGATGCAGGCATAAAAGGACCTCTTGGTAACAGAGGACCCAAGGGGGATTCCGGCAGCCTGGGACCCCCGGGACGTCAGGGTCCTCAGGGGCCACCTGGGGAGCCAGGACCAGTTGGAGAGAGAGGGCCAGCTGGACCCCAAGGCTTTTCAGGACTCAAAGGCTCAAAGGGCAGCTTTGGCACTGGAGGGCCAAGGGGGCAGCCAGGCCCCAAAGGAGATGTGGGGCCCCCAGGGCCTGAGGGGCCTCCAGGGTCACCAGGACCCTCAGGGCCTCAGGGAAAGCCAGGGATTTCAGGAAAGACAGGGTCACCAGGCCAGCGGGGGGCCACAGGGCCTAAGGGTGAACCAGGTATCCAGGGTCCTCCTGGATTACCCGGGCCTCCAGGCCCTCCAGGGAACCAGAGCCCTCACTGAAAGAGGTCTTTGGCCTGATGCTGCAATGCAGGTTGGGGACCAGAAGGGCCTACTATCTACAATCATTGTTCTTTGATCCTGATATGAGGGTGTCTATTAGAACTGACTGTATAGCTTAAAGCTCCCCAATAATGACTGTACCCCAGGAAAAGAGCTCACTGTCTACCCCTATTTCTCTGCTGGCCAGGGAGAGCCTACTGGGTTTCCATGGCTGGTTAGGAGGGGAGGGAAAAAGAAACACACACACACACACACACACACACACACACACACACACACACACACACACTTCCTGTGATAGCCTGCTGGGGAGGGAGGTGGCTGGCTATGGAAGAATGTCTTAGATCTCTTGGATGATAACTAGTTCCAGTCTCTGCAGTGACTTAACATCTACACTAGCCAGAAGCCTCTTCCTGGTCTTGAAAACATCCAGGGAAACCTTTGGGGCATTATAGATGACACTGCAGGGAGCCTCTCCCAACAGCCATGGGAACAGAGTCACAGGGACTTGCCCTGCCCCACACATGGCAGGAGAACTCTGCCTGGCTGGCATCCTCCGTGCATGTCATCTCTGACAAGTTCAGAGGGTTGTTATTCACACGTCCAGAACATTCCTCGCTTCAGTCTTACCTCTACATCTCAGGAGTGGCCTGGAAAGAAACCAAGCAGAGTTTCATCTGCAGGGAGAGACCCTGCAGGTCCCAGAACATTCTGCTTGTCTACTGTCCAGCTCCCAGGAAGACCACAGGGATGGAAGTGGGAGGACAAGGCAGGAGTGAAGCCTCTCTGCAGTCAACCCTTGTTCAGCCTGGGCTGCCATGCCGTGTTCCCAGTGGGGCTTCTCTGTGGTGGCCAGGGAGGAAGCTGTAGCAGGGCCCACCCCGGATAACAGGGGGGCTCTTGCCTACTACTCTTGGCTGTTCTATCCATAGATGAACATTGACTTCACCCCAACACAACCTAAGAAGTCTGGAGCTCTTTCCCACATGAGCAGCAGGCTGGATGAGGCATGGGAAGAGCCTGAACATGCACAAGGAGCCTCTGATGTTTCTCCTGTCTTTCATGAACGTCTTACATACACTGGCAGAAAGGGATGCTGGGAAAGACCTGCATTGTCTTGACTCACTTTCTATTAGGCTGCCCTGCTCCTTCAGACTCCAATAGACTTAAATGCTCCTGGGCAAAAGGCAGAGCTGTCTCCTCCCTTGCACTGCCTCAGAGACTAGTCTTCTTCCTGCTCAAAGCCTCTGTACCACCTTTCTCCTCAACATCAGTGTGCAACTGGCTTGCACCACCCACCTACCCCCTGCCGTATAACTGTCCTGTCTACTTACGATAATATGTGACACAGTATCACTGGCCCAGTAAAGAGCTGTTTCCAGGAGGGATGTGTCTTCTGGTATTTGTACCCAACCAGAGGAAGTGATTCCTTCTGGGATCCATTTCATATTAACCTTCAGAGGGGAGTCACTGTCAAGGGTTCTGCTGCAGAATCTGAGAACCGAGGAGCTTTTGGAGCTCTAGTGGTTGGCAGTGAAGCCCAAGCAAGAGTCTAAGAAATTACCACCAAGGGCAAGGCCAAGCTTGAAACAGTGCATCCCCTAAAGCTTGCGGCTAGACCCTATAGTTATTTGGCTACAATGAGACTGGAAAATAGGAAATAGGGCAGGCCCAGACAACACAGGGATGCCTGCTGCTTCCACATGTTGTCTCTAAAACAAAGAAGCAGAACCAAAAAGGAGGAAAAGACAAGGCCAGACTTGCTCCAAGGGGCCTGAAAGAACAGAGGTCAGCTGGGTTCCTTAGAAATAAGACTGAGCCTGCTCCACAAGGAGTTTTAAGGGAGAGCAAGTTCATTTGCTAAGTCAAGCCCACCCCCGTGCAAAGCCTGGGCACTGCTTTGATGTGGGGCATGTAAGAGTCAGGGGTGCTCAGTGGGAGTGAAAAGGTGGAAGAGCTGAGGTGAGACCCCTGTATACGAGCCTTGCCCATCTGTGTGGCGTGAGGGCCACCCTTCACACAGCACCTGCCGCATGTGGGCCGCTGAGTTCATTGCTTAAGGCTCACAAGGATGAGTAAGGCCTAAAACTCAATCTGGCCACTTTTCCTCAAGAGGGCAGACATATCTATAGCCTTGCATGAAACAAGACAGGGAAAGGAAGGGGAAGTTAGGGGGTGGGGACAAGTCTCCCTGATAAGACACGTCCAGAAGGGTGACGCCCAGCTAGTAACACAAGGACAACAGGAAAGACAGGTCACTGGAGTCACCTCACACTCTCGGACTATGAACCAACCTCCAGAAATCTTGAACTACTGGTTGCCACACTACTGGTAGGGAAAGGACTAGGCCAGGCCCTGGGATAAGAAAAGCGTAAGTGAGGGTATCAGCTGTGTCTTAGTTCGGGTTTCTATTGCTGTGGAGAGACACCATGACCACTGCAATCTTATAAAGGAAACATTTCATTGGGGTTCAGTCCAGCACGGCGGGGAGCATGGCGGCGTGCTGGCAGATGTGCTGGAGCTGAGAGAGCTACATCCTGACTGAAAAGCATCAGGAAGTTGACTGACACACCGGCTGGCATCCTGATCATAGCAAACCTCAAAGCCCAGCGCCCCCCAGTGACACACTTGCTCCAACAAAGCCACACCTCCTAATAGTGCAACTCCCTACAAGATTATGGGGTTATGGGGACAAATTACATTCAAACTACCACAAGCTGGACTTGAAGTTAAGTCCCAGCAAAGCCAGAGCTGAGATAGATTCCAAAGGACGGGCTTGGAGGACAAAATGATAGAAAAGACATAGGGATTTAAAAAAAAGAAGTCAATTTGAGAACATTGAGATCACAGCAGTGAAATCCAGTGGGCACTGTGTCAGCAGGGCAATGTCTCATGGCCTTCCCTGAGAAGCTCATTTCTGTTCCCCAGAGAGAGAGAGAGCGATCACAGAGCAAAGAAACAGCTCCATCCAACTCCCGCTTGGAGAATTATTGAGTCTAATTGAATTACTTACAGACAGGCAGATACACCAAGAAACACGCCCTCTTTCCCACAACTATTACCCACTTACATACCCTCCAGGAAGGACTGAGAACCTCAGGAACCTTGTGCATCCTCCTGCCCTTACATTCCGTAAGAGAATCCTAGGTGGGCCCACTCTCATAAAAGTCGCTCATTAGTAATCACAGCTGCACGGATTACAAGGTGGCAACAGTCATGGCATGCCAGAGCCCAGAGGTCCACATCATACAACAGTAACAGTGAAAGCAAGCACAATGGTGCAGTCAGGCAGAGGCCACATACCACCCTAGGTACTTCACAAATAGTAACTCAGTCTTTACTACCATTTAGAATGTATAATGCGCATCTCTACCTCACAGGAGAACTGAGTTGTGGAGCAGTGCATTAATGTGTGGGCCAAAGTCATAACTAGTTTTTTTTTTTTAGACATACACATTGAGACAGCCTTGAATAAGCTGTTTAACTGATGACTAGTTGCCTCCATGGGATTCCTGGAAAGCTCTTCGGCTAGGGTATTGGTCTGCTTAGCTGCCACCAGCAAACACACCAGATTGCATGCTTCCAACAGCAGAAATTTCTTCTCTCATGGTTCAAGAGGTCGGGAAGGTTAAACTCAAAATGTCAACTCTTCCATGTTTGCAGAGGGCCACCTTTGTGTTACACCCTCAGATTGTAGACAAGTTCTTATGCTTTTCCAGACAGCCTTAAGCTCAACCCTATGACTTTGCTTATGCTTAATGACTTCCTGAAGAACATGGCTCCAGATCGTCACACTGAGGTGATGGCTGCATAAGTCAATCAATCTGGGTACCCAGCAGCAGCCAGTGTTCCATAGATATCAGTCACCATCCAATTACATAGAATCTAAGTTTCTTTAACATCACTAAGACTCAACACTCCTCAAATGGTCAGAGCAAGAAGCCAGCACACTCCTTATACTTCTGCCCTTCCTTTCTCTCAACCCTCATCCCTCTGTCCCATGTCATCACATATTCCTTTTAGAATATCCTAACTTTTTTCCCAATTCTTTTGAAACTCCAAAGAACTTACTGGGGCTTAGGAATGGACAGTTGGAACCATAAAGCCTGAAACAAATGGTATGACTCAATGTGGGATCTTGTGAGATGGATGCCACTTGTCTGAGAGTGGAGATTGGGTGGGTTATTTGACAGGGTCCATCAGTAAACATGGAGCTGGGACAGGTCATGGTTCAGCCATGCTGGTCTCTTTTCTTCCTTGTGGGACTATAGGCCCAGCACAGACCTCTTGGATCAATAGACCTGGCTTGGAGATCCACATTTATCTGTCCTAACCAAGCTGTCCTTTTCTCCTGCTCTATTCAGTTGCTTTGCTGTATCTCACTAAAGCCAAGATAATTAAGTCTGACTCTTCATGGAGAGGTGACAGCCCATGAGATTTCAGCTACTGCATGCAAAGCACAGACTTTGCTGTTGGTGTGACTTTAATTCCAAAACTTACAAAACCCTGAAATTACTCCTGGGCTTCCTAGAAGCCACAGACCAGAGCCACGGTCTCTCAGTGCCTCTGAGAACTCCGAGCTTGCTTTCCCATCCTGGCAACCTCTCCCTTCTTCCTGCAGAAGAGGACAGGTTTGGGCAAACCCGCTCTTCCCCCAGCCCTTCTCCCCAGACCAGGGTTGAGCTGGCAACCTCTGCTGCACCAACCCTGGATACACCTGTCAAAACAGAAACATTGGAGAGTCGAGCAAGAGCTGAAAAACATGGTCTGACCACACCGAACTTTCCACCAGGGCTGGGTTGCCAAGGGCTGGCTTTTCCCGAAAGCCTTACCCCCACGGGTGACTGAGCAGCCTTCTTGAGGACTACTTGACTGTGGAAGGATAGGCCATTTGATTTTCTGACCTTTGCCTGTCCACTGCTTTTGTTTTCTTTTAAACTTCCAAGTGCAAGAGCCGTGCTTGATGGATCAGGGAACATTTAGAGGCTTATTCAATGCCTCCTAGTGGGAACCACCTACCATGGTACAACCACCTGGAGGCCCATAAAAATGTACACCGTGTGCTTGCACCCTAAACCCACTGGTGCAGAACCGTGGAGATGGATGAGAATTTGGGAGTGGGAGGTAATGTGCATTACAGACCAGGACCCAAGGAATTATGATGCCTCATAAATTTGAGATCCACAGGTGTAAAAAATAAAGAAAGG